CGCAGGTCGCGCGGGCCGCGTCGGGCGACGGGGGGCGACGCGCGGGTCCGCGGGCTCCGTGACGGGCGACGGGGGGCGCTTCGACGGGCGACGGGGGGCGCTTCGACGGGCGACGGGGGGCGCTTCGACGGGCGACGGGGCGGTCGACGGGAGGGGGGGAAGCGCGGGTCCCCGGGGTGACGCACGAGGGAGGAAACCGCCGCGCGCCTCGGGGCCACGGCGGGCAGAAAACCGCCGCGCGCCCCGAGCGCGCGGCGGGAAGAAAAAACGAACATCGCGCGCCACGGGACGCGCGACACACAGGAAGGCAGCGGAAGCAGGCGGGCCCACAGGCCAGGAGCGTAACCGCTCTGATAGCATGTTAGAATAGTAGCTAGAATGAAGGAGCCATAGCTAGGGTTTAGCTAGCTAGGCAAGAGAGAATAGGCAAAAGAGGGTTTGACTAGAAAGAAGGGAGGTACAAATAGCAAGCCCTAAAAGGGTTTACTCACTATTGAGTACCCCACTACAGACTAGACAAGCATTATAATCTGACAGTTGGAACATAAGAGGGGGAAATGGGAGCAGTGTGTGCAGCACGTGAGTGTGGTTGGATAGTGGATGCTGCCAAGATAGCAAGAGGGGTGACACACTGGAGCCTGGATGGGAGATTGAGTATGGGACGATTTTAGGCGCCTCTAAATTGAGTGTGGTTGTATAAACCCTGCTGCTGCCAAGAGGGCAAGAGGGGTAACACACTGGAGCCTGGATGGGGGATTGAGCATGGGGTTATACACCTCCCCGCCCCTCCCCACCCCTGACATCTCACCTCCCCTGTGCTAGCTCGCATCTGTCTGCCAGTCCAGCCCTCTCCTCCTGCAGTGCCCCAGCAGCCGCCGCACCACGTGGCCCTTTATTGCCAGTCAAGAGATCAACCGCCAAACCCCACACCTCCCCACCCCTCCCCACCCCTCAAATCTCACCTCCCCTGTGCAAGCTCGCATCTGTCTGCCAGTCCAGCCCTCTCCTCCTGCAGTGCCCTAGCAGCCGCCGCACCACCCACAGGTGGCCTTTCAGCGAGGCGATGTAAAGGGGGGTTTCCTCGCCCCTGTTGCCCACTGCCATGTCCGCGCCTGCTTGCAAGAGGACCTGTGGGAGGGAGGACGACAGGGAGAGGCAAGGGAGTGGCAAGGAGTGAGGGAGGAGGTGGGAGGAGTGGGAGGGAGTGAAAAGGCATGTGAACACACCACCCAAGTGTGCCCCTTGAGTGAAGCGATGTAGAGGGGGGTCTCCTCGCCCCTGTTGCCCACTGCCATGTCCGCGCCTGCTTGCAGCAGCACCTGTTGTGAGAGAGGTGGGGAAGTGCAATTGCATATAGAGAAGGACTACCAAAAATAATTGACAACCACCCTTCACCCTCTTTCCCCCCAGTGCCCACCCACCTCTACGGTCCACGCGTAATTTTTGAGAATTCTCAAGAATCGCTCACAAGGGCAACCACCCTCTCACTCCTATCCCATAGCAGCCCACCCACCTCTACGGTCCACGCGTAATTTTTGAGAATTCTCAAGAATCGCTCACAAGGGCAACCACCCTCTCACTCCTATCCCATAGCAGCCCACCCACCTCTACGGTCCACGCGTAATTTTTGAGAATTCTCAAGAATCGCTCACAAGGGCAACCACCCTCTCACTCCTATCCCATAGCAGCCCACCCACCTCTACGGTCCACGCGTAATTTTTGAGAATTCTCAAGAATCGCTCACAAGGGCAACCACCCTCTCACTCCTATCCCATAGCAGCCCACCCACCTCTACGGTCCACGCGTAATTTTTGAGAATTCTCAAGAATCGCTCACAAGGGCAACCACCCTCTCACTCCTATCCCATAGCAGCCCACCCACCTCTACGGTCCACGCGTAATTTTTGAGAATTCTCAAGAATCGCTCACAAGGGCAACCACCCTCTCACTCCTATCCCATAGCAGCCCACCCACCTCTACGGTCCACGCGTAATTTTTGAGAATTCTCAAGAATCGCTCACAAGGGCAACCACCCTCTCACTCCTATCCCATAGCAGCCCACCCACCTCTACGGTCCACGCGTAATTTTTGAGAATTCTCAAGAATCGCTCACAAGGGCAACCACCCTCTCACTCCTATCCCATAGCAGCCCACCCACCTCTACGGTCCACGCGTAATTTTTGAGAATTCTCAAGAATCGCTCACAAGGGCAACCACCCTCTCACTCCTATCCCATAGCAGCCCACCCACCTCTACGGTCCACGCGTAATTTTTGAGAATTCTCAAGAATCGCTCACAAGGGCAACCACCCTCTCACTCCTATCCCATAGCAGCCCACCCACCTCTACGGTCCATGCGTAATTTTTGAGAATTCTCAAGAATCGCTCACAAGGGCAACCACCCTCTCACTCCTATCCCATAGCAGCCCACCCACCTCTACGGTCCACGCGTAATTTTTGAGAATTCTCAAGAATCGCTCACAAGGGCAACCACCCTCTCACTCCTATCCCATAGCAGCCCACCCACCTCTACGGTCCACGCGTAATTTTTGAGAATTCTCAAGAATCGCTCACAAGGGCAACCACCCTCTCACTCCAATCCCATAGCAGCCCACCCACCTCTACGGTCCACGCGTAATTTTTGAGAATTCTCAAGAATCGCTCACAAGGGCAACCACCCTCTCACTCCTATCCCATAGCAGCCCACCCACCTCTACGGTCCACGCGTAATTTTTGAGAATTCTCAAGAATCGCTCACAAGGGCAACCACCCTCTCACTCCTATCCCATAGCAGCCCACCCACCTCTACGGTCCACGCGTAATTTTTGAGAATTCTCAAGAATCGCTCACAAGGGCAACCACCCTCTCACTCCTATCCCATAGCAGCCCACCCACCTCTACGGTCCACGCGTAATTTTTGAGAATTCTCAAGAATCGCTCACAAGGGCAACCACCCTCTCACTCCTATCCCATAGCAGCCCACCCACCTCTACGGTCCACGCGTAATTTTTGAGAATTCTCAAGAATCGCTCACAAGGGCAACCACCCTCTCACTCCTATCCCATAGCAGCCCACCCACCTCTACGGTCCACGCGTAATTTTTGAGAATTCTCAAGAATCGCTCACAAGGGCAACCACCCTCTCACTCCTATCCCATAGCAGCCCACCCACCTCTACGGTCCACGCGTAATTTTTGAGAATTCTCAAGAATCGCTCACAAGGGCAACCACCCTCTCACTCCTATCCCATAGCAGCCCACCCACCTCTACGGTCCACGCGTAATTTTTGAGAATTCTCAAGAATCGCTCACAAGGGCAACCACCCTCTCACTCCTATCCCATAGCAGCCCACCCACCTCTACGGTCCACGCGTAATTTTTGAGAATTCTCAAGAATCGCTCACAAGGGAAACCACCCTCTCACTCCTATCCCATAGCAGCCCACCCACCTCTACGGTCCACGCGTAATTTTTGAGAATTCTCAAGAATCGCTCACAAGGGCAACCACCCTCTCACTCCTATCCCATAGCAGCCCACCCACCTCTACGGTCCACGCGTAATTTTTGAGAATTCTCAAGAATCGCTCACAAGGGCAACCACCCTCTCACTCCTATCCCATAGCAGCCCACCCACCTCTACGGTCCACGCGTAATTTTTGAGAATTCTCAAGAATCGCTCACAAGGGCAACCACCCTCTCACTCCTATCCCATAGCAGCCCACCCACCTCTACGGTCCACGCGTAATTTTTGAGAATTCTCAAGAATCGCTCACAAGGGCAACCACCCTCTCACTCCTATCCCATAGCAGCCCACCCACCTCTACGGTCCACGCGTAATTTTTGAGAATTCTCAAGAATCGCTCACAAGGGAAACCACCCTCTCACTCCTATCCCATAGCAGCCCACCCACCTCTACGGTCCACGCGTAATTTTTGAGAATTCTCAAGAATCGCTCACAAGGGCAACCACCCTCTCACTCCTATCCCATAGCAGCCCACCCACCTCTACGGTCCACGCGTAATTTTTGAGAATTCTCAAGAATCGCTCACAAGGGCAACCACCCTCTCACTCCTATCCCATAGCAGCCCACCCACCTCTACGGTCCACGCGTAATTTTTGAGAATTCTCAAGAATCGCTCACAAGGGCAACCACCCTCTCACTCCTATCCCATAGCAGCCCACCCACCTCTAAAGTAGACCCCTTGTCCCCCACTCTCCTGACTCAGCAAACACCTAACCACGCACGCCGCTGTCCCTCCCTCTACCCCCAACGTTCCTGACCGAGCCCAGCACCCACCCACCCCTCTCCACCCACCTCGACAGTCCACGCATCACCAGCTTCTGCTGCGAGAAACAGAGCTGTGGCTCCGCCTTTGTCTCTCATATTCACCACCAGCCGTCCCAAACCACTGACCCAAACCACTGACACAAATCACGCACCCACTGATCCATCCCTTCACCCACCTCTACGGTCCACGCATCTCCAGCCTCTGCTGCGAGAAACAGCGCTGTGGCTCCGCCTTTGTCCCTCATATTCACCACCAGCCGAGCCTCTCCCCCTATGTCAAATCCCATGCCCTCGTCTCTCGTGCCCTCGCCTCTCGTGCCCTCCTGCTCCTCATTCCTCCCTTGCCCTTTTTGCTGTTCCAACTCCCCTGCCTTTTCTCCATTCTCCTCCTCTTCTTCCTCCTTTTCCCACTCCCTCTCCCCCTTCTCCACCTCCTCTTCCTCCATCTCCCACTCCTCCCATAGTCTTGTATTCATCCTCTCACTAAAACCCCCCTCCTTCTCCTCCTCCCCATTCTCTCCCTCCTCCTCTCCCGCCTTCCCCTCCCCTCCACAATACACCCTCCCTGGCACCCCCTTCCCCCTGCTCCCCCACTCCCCCCACCTCCCCAACCCCAGGGCCCTCCCCCCAAGCCCAACCACGTCAACCAATGCCTGGGCGCCACGTGTATCCTGCAGCAGGGCTGCCACGTGAAGGGGGGAGCGCTGCTGAGTGCTGCTACAGCCAGCAGCAGAGCGAAGGGCCCAGAGGAGGGCGGATGGGGGGAGGGAGAGGGCGGGGGAGGGGAGAGGGCGGGGGAGGGGAGAGGGCGGGGGAGGGGAGAGGGCGGGGGAGGGGAGAGGGCGGGGGAGGGGAGAGGGCGGGGGAGGGGAGAGGGCGGGGGAGGGGAGAGGGCGGGGGAGGGGAGAGGGCGGGGGAGGGGAGAGGGCGGGGGAGGGGAGAGGGCGGGGGAGGGGAGAGGGCGGGGGAGGGGAGAGGGCGGGGGAGGGGAGAGTGAGAGCGAGGAGGGAGATGGAGGTGGAGGGGGGACTGGGCAGGGGATGGGAGAGGTCACAGCAGCAGTCGTCTGCAGCGGGAGCAGGAGAGACAGCGGGCCTGGCAGGGCGAGTGGCCCTCACACACTGCCGGCACAAGTGCCGGGCTGCCTCTGTTACTGTCACTTGCCCTGCACTCGTCTCTCTTGCTGCTGCCTCTGCTACTCTCTCTTGCCCTGCTATTGCCTCTGATGCTGCTGCCTCTACTACTTCCACTGGTGCTGCTCTCTCTTCTACTGCTGCTGCGTCTGCTGCTGTCACGTGTCCTGCTACGGTTTGTCCTGTAGCCCCCACAAAAGACGGAAGGTGCCAGTGGGAGTGGGCAGCAGAGTGAGAGACGCCCTGGGCGGCACGGGCGTGAATCCGGGCGGCATGGCGAGAGATGTGGCCGACAATAAGTGCTCCTCGGTCGGTGGAGAGGTCGAGGAGGAGAGGCGCGTGGGGGAGGGAGCTGAGAACATCCCTGCAAGCAGAACAAGCACGTGTGGTTTGGGGAGAAGGGAGGGAGGGAGATGGCGGGTGGCTTGAGTTGAAGGGAGATGTGGCCGGCAGTAAGTGCTCCTCTGTCAGTGGAGAGGTGCCAGTGGGCATGGTTGGCAAAGTGAGAGACGCCCTGGGCGGCACGGGCGTGAATCCGGGCGGCATGGCGAGAGACGTGGCCGACAATAAGTGCCGAGAGGTCGAGGAGGAGAGGTCGAGGAGGAGAGGTCGAGGAGGAGAGGTCGAGGAGGAGAGGTCGAGGAGGAGAGGTTGAGGAGGAGAGGTCGAGGAGGAGAGGTCGAGGAGGAGAGGTCGAGGAGGAGAGGTCGAGGAGGAGAGGTCGAGGAGGAGAGGTCGAGGAGGAGAGGTCGAGGAGGAGAGGTCGAGGAGGAGAGGTCGAGGAGGAGAGGTCGAGGAGGAGAGGCGGGTGAGGAAGGGAGCTGATAACATCACTGCAAGTAAAACAAGAGGGTAGGGGTTGGGGAGAAGAGAAGGAAGAAAGGATAAGGAAAGGATACGGGATAAGTGCCCCTCGGTCGGTGGAAAGATGAAGGGGACGGATCCCTTCTTGCATGTGTGTGTTTGTTGGCATGATTGAAAATGTTTTTGACCTTGTTTTTCCCCCTTTTTGGTGAACCGAGTTCTCTAACAAAAAAACGACCGTTTTTTTGGAAAATCGCCGTAAAAAACGACCGTAAAAAACGGACCGTATTTTACGAAAACCGTAATTTTGAACCTTGCGCAAAGGGACAACCAGTGGGTAATCCGGAAGCTGGCTATCAGGTAGTTTGGTTCCTTGCCTCTCTCATCTCATGCCCTCAATACCGCCTTTCAAAAAAAAAATGACACCTTCAGTAGTTGCACTGCAACCCACCAAGCAGAGGGACTATGAATAACACTCTCCTTCCCCAACGACACCCTTCTCACCTCATGTCGTCAATAACTCCTTTCTCCCAGAATGACACCTCCACCAGTTGAAGCCTCCCCAGCAGCACCGCCACCCCACCAAGCGCTTCCCCTGGTCGCACCTGTCTCTGCACCTGTCTCCGTGCCTCCCTTCCCTCCGATGCACCAAGCCGCAATTCCCCCACTCCTGCTTGCACCTCCCCTAATCCCACCTGTCTCAGCGCATCTCCCTCCCCTCTTGCTGCAGACTGGCTTTCACCTACTTGCAATCCCCCCCATTGCACCCCCCCTTGTTGCGCCGCCCCCCATTGCACCCCCCCTGGTTGCATCACCCCCCATTGCAACCCCCCCAGTTGCGCCTGCCTCCGCGCCTCCCCTTCCCCCCATGCTGCAAACGGTTCTGTGTCTCTCCTGTTCACTGCTCCCCCTGCTGCTGCTGCTGCCCCCCCTGCTGTTGCTGCTACCCCTCCTGCTGCTGTTGCTGCTCTTGCTGCACTTGCTGGTGTTCTTTCTGCTGCTGCTGCTCCCTGTGCCGCTGTTATTGCACCTCCTACTGCTGTTTCTGCTGCCGCTGCTGCGCCTACCCCTGCTGCTGCTCGTTCTGCTGCTCCTCCCCCTGCTGCCGTGTCTGCTGCGCTTTCAGCTGCACCTACCCCTGCTGCTGCTCGTTCTGCTGCTCCTCCCCCTGCTGCCGTGTCTGCTGCACTTTCAGCTGCACCTACCCGCTGCTGCTGCTGCTGCTGCTGCGTCTGTTGCACTTGGCAGTGGGGACACAGACGCCAGGCGGGAGAGCAAGGAGGACGGGACGAGGCTGGGAGGGAGTGAGAGGAGGAGGCGGGAGAGGGAGGGCAGAGGGAGAGCATCAGGGAGAATGGGGAAACAGGAGCCTCCGAGACAGAGGACCTCGAGATGGGGGCAGCTGAGAGCCTGCACGGATGGTGAGACCGAGAAGAGAGAGATGGGAAATTGAGAGGAGGGAGGGGGAGGGGTGACGAGGGTTGGCATGTTGGAGATGGGGAAAGAAAGAATGGCCGCGCTCTGGCTGAGAGGGGCTTCGGGCTTCGCAGGAGTGTTTTTGAGAATTCTCAAAAACACTCTACATCGGAAAAGAGCCCGCAGACGAGGAAGTTACACCCCTTTTCACAACCCCTGCTCTTCTCCTCCCCACCTTATGAGCGCCTTCTTGACACAAGCTGTACATGAGGTGAGATTCACACTCTTTACTCTCAACGAGCTTCTCTTCTCGCCACTCTTTACCCAACGGCTGTACATATGAAATCCACACTATGTGCTCAGAACGACCTCTTCAGGTGGCTCACTACACGAAAAGCTGGTCTCCTCACACTCTCCTCACACTCTCTTCACACGAAAAGCTGGTCTTCTCACACTCTCCTCACACTCTCTTCACACGACAAGCTGGTCTCCGCACACTCTCCTCACACTCTCTTCACACGACAAGCTGGTCTCCTCACACCTTCCCTTCTCTACCACTCACCAGCAGCTGCAAAGCTTTGGCAGAGAGGGCTTGGCAGGAGTGCAGCGAGAGGGCACGCAGGGAGGAGGGGCGGTGGAGCACTTGAGATAGTGCTACTGGAAAGGACGCTGGTGTGATTGGGGCGAGGGGGGGGGACAAACGAGGGGAAGAATGAGGTGAAGATTGTTAGCGTATTTACAAAGGAGGAGCTAAACCACACTTCGCCTTATCCCCATCCCCCTCATCCGCCTCCCAATTGCTCCTATCTCGAGTCAATCCAAGAAACGACATGAGCCCACCCTCCTTTCATTCCCCATCCACACCACCCACCCAACCCCCCCATTCCCCAGCCCCCCTCCTCCACCTCCCACTCCTCCCACCCATCACTCACCCTCCTCGTCTCTCTTCTGCGTCAGTCCAAGAAACGCCATAAGCCCATCCTCCTCCCCCTCCTTCTGTGGAGGCAACTCTTTCTGTGGGATTCCTGGGGGTGCCACGTGGCGCACAGAAAGCCTGTCCACGTGGCTGAAGACAAGGGCTGTTAGCAAGGATCCTGGTTTTCTGGAAGCTTCTAGAAGGACGGAGACGGTGTGGGGGGTGAGGCCGAAGCAGCGGTGGAGGGAGATGGTGGTGAGAGAGGGGGAGGCGGCGAGATGAGTAGATAATGCGTCTGTGCTGATAGAAAAAGGGGAAAGGGAGGGAGGGAGAGAGGGGAGGTGTGAGGGGTGAGGCCGAAGCAGCGGTGGAGGGAGATGGTGGTGAGAGAGGGGGAGGAGGCGAGATGAGGCGCCAATGCGTCTGTGCTGGTAGGGTGGGGAAAGAGAAGAGAGAGGGAAGGTGGTGGAGAGAGGAACAGAGAGGAGGGAGAGAAGAGAGTTCTGGCATCAAAACAGAGCAGAAATTCTTCACATAACAATCTTTTGATACGGTCTATGATACTCACAGCTTTCTGCAGTTATCCAGCACGAGCACTTGCATCCTAGTCAGCGAGGAGACACACACCGCCACGTCAGCATTGGACACTGCTGAGGTGGCAAGTGACAGCGTGTGCAGCAGCGGCGCCACGTGTGCAATCCCCCGTACTGCCTGGGAGCACCAAGCAGAGCTGTGCAGGGGGAAGGAGGCAAGTGGCTGCTGACGTGGCAGCTGAGCTGGCGTTGGCATATTCTGGTGTGAGGACGTGGAAGGATTGAGCAGGGAGACACAAAGATGGTTCAGACACGTAAGCACGGATGAGAAAACGGAGAATCTGAACTTAACAACCACCAGCTATTGGAATTAGATACCAGCTGCAGGTGTACCTTTCACTAACAATGAGCTATCCTCGTTATTGAGCTGCACAGGTCCCCTAGCAGCGACCAACATGGTCACCATGTTGCTTCACGATTCCATAGGCTCGCCAATATCCACTTACGTGGCTTACTACCATTGGCTCCGTCCTTTCGGGAAACAAGAGCCCGATCCATCTGCAAAAGCGATAGCTGGAGGGGTGCCGAGGCAACTGCATCGCGAAGGCTGCGGCAGGCGCTTCTCACGGCGACAACGTCGCGCGGATCGCACAGCGATCGCGAGAGAATGTGTGCGACGACTGGCCCTGGCAGGTCGCACAACGAAGGCGAATTGGATTTCGGGTCGCAGGAGGAACCTGTCATTTCCGGTCTATAACCTAATGGACCTGCCTTGCGCGGCGCGATTCCTCCCGTGTGGGAGTTGTCAGAATCAGGCGCTGACGTGGATGCCATGATTGGCTGCCAGCTGGGCTCAGCATGAAACGACTTGCGACAGAATGGTCCGCCTCACCGGGAGGCGAAAGAAAAGGCGAGACACTCTGCAAATCCTAGTCTCAGTGACAATGAGAGGTCACTATCGGTACACTAGTTGCGCTAGCGACCCGCTGGCTACTTCATTCACATATGCTGCATGCCATGATACTGCGAGATCACTTGTGTTGGAATGGCAGATGACATAACAGTTCTATAACAAAATCCATTCGCAATTTCCTGCACATTATCAGATCACTTTACATCGCGTAAAGAGGGAAATTGGAGCCACCGCGATGTCTGAACCAAACCCCGCCAATGGAATATCACGGTGCAGTGCAACACTTTCGCAGAGCAGAGCATTTTCAATTTCGTTAGAACGTCGTCCAACGGATACGACAATGCGATGAGCCACGCCAGCCAGAGCTGCTGACCGACAGTCTCGCCCAGGCCTGTCGATTGACGGGCATATGCCCTTAATGCCCTGACATTAAGGGCTAGTTTCGCTCCAGCTCCAATGCGTCAGTTTTAGATTCGCACTACCCGTGCCACTAAGTGCTTCGTTTGACCCTTCCCCGGATGCGTTAAGGGACGAAACCAGGCCTTCCCCTTTATCTAAGTTTTGGTTTCCGATAGTTGGACCCCCCCCACCCCAGGGTGTCAGAGTCAACCACCCCCCCCCCCTCTTTCTCCTTAGCCTGCACGAGAGCGCGCGGAGGGGATTTTTCCCTTAGCGTTTTCTAGCCAATCTCGTGTGTGTAGTGTGTCTCAGTCAGCCTTGGAGCACCCGAACATTCCCTTAGCACGTCAAAGGAACTGAAGCACTCTAGCGTAGCAGCTCTCTCGCTTAACCAAATACAGTGTAGTGCCAACTTCGTACATGCCCGGATTTCAAGTTTTCACTTTGGGGTGCGCCCGTGCCCGTTAAGGGCGCCAAAACGCTCACCTACACCCAACCAAGGGTCAGATGGGGAGGAGCTGGGGAGCGCAAGTACGAGCCCCAGGAACTTCGACAGGCCTGGTCTCGCCGTTCAGCGGGATTCTTTCGCAAAGTAACCGACTGTTTTCGCTGGGTGGATTTCGGTGACTCGTCGTGAACCGACAAGCGACGCAGGCGATTCCACGAGACGCGCGACGGACGGTACACGGTATCACGAACTCGGGCGGGGAGCCTCGAACCCTGGGCAACTCGAGTTTCTCTGGCCCTGCGACGAGCCTTCCTCACAGCGACTCGGGCAAAATTTGCCTGCGAGTATGTCAGGTCAGCAGAATCCGTCGCACGCGACTCGAATCTCTCAATCGCACTGAAATAGCGCTTTGGCTGGCATTGTGGAACACCATCGCTCGCCATCACACAAACGGCAATTTTCATTTCTCCAGTTCAGTCCAGTCCTCCACACAGGTGTGCAAGCAAGCCCCCAGTTCTCCTGCGTCTCGGCTTGGCTTTAGGATAGCGCTCTCTCTATACGCGCCTTCTAGGACTCCTCATATCTTCGCAAACCAAGAGCGATCTACTACATTTCGTGCTACGTCGCAGTTTCCCGTTCGCTTATTTCCGAGCCCGCAACCATCTGTAGACAATGGCGTCGTTTTATCATGTAGCTCTCCTAGCGACGATCGTCCTATGGCACAGCGGCAGTCAAGTATCCGCCCTCAAAACAAAGGAGGTAGATCGAGCCGTCAACGGCATCTCGCAACACCCGGCGTACCTAGGCCTCCACAAATTCGTCGATGACTATCGTAAGTGTTCCAGCGGGCGTAAAGCGAGTCACTCAGTATCAGAGAGTTCCAATTGGCAACAAACTCCCCTTCCCAACTCCCTCTTGCCAAGCCTTTGCCTTCTGTTTTCGGCAAGCCTTCGCCAGAACCTCCCCAATCTCGGTGCTAATCATATGTCTTATCCCCTTCCATGCCTCCCCTCCCTTACAGTAAAATCGAAGATTCCTCTAACGGACATAACCATCTTGCTCCCGGCAAACATCGCGGCGCTTCAGAGCTACACCAAGGACCAGCAATCGACGATTCTCTCTTACAACACCATCGCCACGCGATACCTCTTCAGCAACCTCACTGACATCCCCCCCGGCACCCAGATCGACACTATCGAGGGCAACCTCGTCGCGAAGCGCGGCCCCAAGGGCCGGCCAATCGTCACGTTCCAGGGCGGGTCGAAGCTGCCGACGGCTCTGGTCGTGCCGAACCTGTGGGTAGGCTCGGACTTCACAATCCAGGGCACCAGCACGCTGCTCATCCCGCCGGATCTGATCCCCGCAGCGAGCACCACGAGTCTCCGCGGGGGAATTGGGCGTGCTATTGGCGGGACCGTTAGAGACACTGTTCGCGGCACCATCAACGGAGTTGGCTCACTTTTCAGGCCTTCACCTCGTCCGTAGAAGCTCTGGCGGGGTGCTAAAAAACAGTATAACAAACAATAAGAGGGAGTGCTATAGAGAACGATTGTGATTATATACGGGGAACCGTTAGGGCGCGTCCCTAATTTCGTGTCGTAGTTTTGCTTCAGTTGACACGGAGGTAGGGGCATGTCCTGGTTATGCTACTATGTGGTGGAAAACGGGTAGCTGCGCTCCAGCTCTCAGTTTCCAGGTGTGCTAAACCCCATTGAGGGCGTATATACAAACTGGTTATTTATTGCACTCCGGATTATCCAGCATCAATTTTAATGAGGTGCCACAAGTGCATGGCTCTTTCCCGTTCCTCTCCTCTTGTGCGATGCTTTTCTTTTTCCGAGTATCTTTGATTAATGAACTGATGATAAACTCAAGAGATGTTATGAAGTGCACCCTGCCAGAATCTGGTGAATGTATCATGCCTTATTCGGCATGGCTCATTAATTATGGCCCCAAAAAACTAGAATTGGATGCGGGAGAATTGGACGCGCTAATCATGCCAATATGAGTTATTCCACATTTAGAGGGACAACTTACGCTCTAGTGCAGTAAGACCTCGCAATCAAAATGAGTTAAGCAGATTATATGCTGTACATAACATATATAAATCGCGACAATGAAGTCCAGTGTAGATGTAGCGAACGACCCTAGGGCGCATCGATACTTGCCTTGAACTGTACTCAAAACGATTGGTAGCGTTTTCAAGCGGTGAAGAAAATAGAACATTCTCAAGCGAACGTCACTGCCCTCTAGCATTCTCCAAACAGCAGAACCATCCTAGCGCATTGATCGTCCACAGAACAGGAAATAAACTCCTGTCAGAAGCCCTTACTTAGGTGGCAATTCTCAGCTATTAGAGCCATCAACGGTCCGCGGTCGCACGATTTGGGGAAGCAAGAGCTGCGACCATATCGTGACGATCAGACCCAAGCTAGGGTTTGCTGGAGAGGTGGAATCGCAGCAGCGCGGGGGGTTTCCATCAGTTAAAACGCGAAGCGAATGCGGTTACAATATTGACGCGTCGCACGCACGGAAAATTCGTAGCCTGTACTCGCTACGCGACGGACGTAAGCGAAGCGAGGGCGAATGCGCCTCGTCTCCGCGCTTCAAGCCCTGTCGAGCCGCCGCGTGACGCAATTGGCGCAGAAGGCAATGACTAAGGCCAAGCCGCCTAGTGGAGGGAAAGAGGGCTCTAAGAATAAGTATTACGCGGTTCGGAAAGGTCATCAGCCGGGGATATATCTGACGTGGCCGGAATGCCAACGGCAGGTATGCAGCTGGGATCGCGCCTTGCATCCCACCATGCATCCCACCATCCATCCCACCATGCACCCCTCTTCCACCTAGCCCTCGCCCTCCCCTCTCCTCTTTGCACTCACTGTGCCTCACAGTGTCTTCTTTCTTTCGCTTCCCCCAGGTGACCAATTTCAAAGGCAATTAATTAGCACAAGAGATTCACCACATTGGATGAAGCCCTATCCTACCTCACCCCCCCCCCATCTTCCCTATGCTCTCACCTTACCTTCCTTCTCTCTCCCATGCTCTCACTCCCAGGTGACCAACTTCAAGGGCAATGAGCACAAGAGCTTCGCCTCATTGGACGAATGAAGCCCTCTTCTACCTCACCCACTCGCTGCACCTTATACCCTCTACTCCTTTTCCTTTCCAGGTGACCAACTTCAAGGGCAATCAGCACAAGAGCTTCGCCTCATTGGACGAATGAAGCCCTCTTCTACCTCACCCACTCGCTGCACCTTATACCCTCTACTCCTTTTTCTTCCCCAGGTGACCAACTTCAAGGGCAATCAGCACAAGAGCTTCACCAACCTGGACGAAGCCCTGTCCTACCTCGCCCTGGCTAACGTCTTCGTCTCCTCCCCCCCTTCCACCACACACACCGTGTAGGGCGCCAAGCCAAGCCAGTTTTCAAACCGCAAGCCTCTATCAGCCCGTAGAGCATCTCCCAATCCTCAAACCATCATCTCACTCCGTTTCCGTCTGTTGTTTCCTTTCCAGGTGACCAACTTCAAGGGCAATCAGCACAAGAGTTTCACCAACCTAGATGAAGCTCTCTCCTACCTCGCCCTGGCTAACGTCTTCGTCTCCTCTCCCCCCACACACGCTGCTGCTTCCGCTCTCCCGTGCACTCTCTCACTCACAGGTGACCAATTTCAAGGGCAATCAGCACAAGAGCTTCACCAACTTGGATGAAGCCCTTTCCTACCTCGCCCTGGCTAACGTCTTCGTCTCCTCTCCCCCCACGCACGCTGCTGCTTCCGCTCTAAAGAGAGCCGCTATACCTTCTCCTCCTGCTCGTGCTCGTGTCACCCCTGCTGCTGTTTCTGTTGCTGCTGCCATTGCTGCCTCTGCGGATGCTGCTGGTGCTGCGAATGCAGATCGTATCGCTGCTGGTACGTATTGGATTAGTCTTTGTTACGGCTTAGTGTTTTGCTGCTGCTGCTGATACGACCTGTCCCCCTTCTACTCTCTAATCCTACTTTCCCTCTTCTCACTTCCTTCATCCCTCTCCACCCTACCGCAATCTAGACAGAAGGCGTTTTTGTATGATTCTCAAACACAGTCTTATTTTTCCTTCTCCTTCCCTGTCTACACCACCCACCAACCTCACCCCTGCAGGAGAAAGCACAGAAAGCGAGGGCGAAAGGGGGGGGTCTGGTGCAGGAGGGAGGGATTCGGAGGAGGGGGAAGGGGGAAGTGTGGGAGGAGAGGGGGGAGTGGGAGCAGTGGTAGAGGAGGGAGCTGTGAGAATGAGGAGAGGGGAGGATATGCAGCAACGGGTAGCAGAACTTAGTTTGCAAATAGACCCTCAGGTGAGTCAGTTTGAGTCGGTGAGAAATCTTTCATATGAGGATAAGGAGAGGGGAGGACATGCAGCAACGGGTGGAGGAACTTGGTTTGCAAATAGACCCTCAGGTCAGTCTGTATTTTCAGGCGTTCATGATTAATTTATTACTTGCAGACGCTTTACCACATATGGCGTTTGATGGGACCACTAGGTGTCTGGTGGGAATACGAATCAAAGGCAGACCTTTTGTCAACCCCCTCTAGGCGTGTCCTGCCTGCTCAACGCCCTCCTCCCCACCCCCCCCTTCTTTTCGAACACGTATTCTCCCTCCTACTCGATGCAATGCATCTCCACCCCCCCCCCAAGCCCTTTACCACATGGAGTTTGATATGGGGCAGTCAAGAGCAAGCCTTGTCCGTGTCCCGCCACTGGTCACCCCACTGGTCACCCCACTGGTCACCCCACTGGTCACCCCATGCACCTCATGCACCTCCTTACTCAGCGTCTCTCCCTCTCCCTCCTCCACCTCCCCCCAGGCCCTTCACCGCGTGGAGTTTGGTGGGGCCTCCAAGGGCAACCCTTTGCCATCCCGTGTAACGCCCCCCAACGCGCCTCCCAGGTCCCCCAGGCCCCTTTGCTTTCTCCCTCCTACTCCATGCCTCTTCAACTCGCCCCCCAGGCCCTTCACCGCGTGGAGTTTGGTGGGGCCTCCAAGGGCAACCCTTTGCCATCCCGTGTAACGCCCCCCAACGCGCCTCCCAGGTCCCCCAGGCCCCTTTGCTTTCTCCCTCCTACTCCATGCCTCTTCAACTCGCCCCCCAGGCCCTTCACCGCGTGGAGTTTGGTGGGGCCTCCAAGGGCAACCCTTTGCCATCCCGTGTAACGCCCCCCAACGCGCCTCCCAGGTCCCCCAGGCCCCTTTGCTTTCTCCCTCCTACTCCATGCCTCTTCAACTCGCCCCCCAGGCCCTTCACCGCGTGGAGTTTGGTGGGGCCTCCAAGGGCAACCCTTTGCCATCCCGTGTAACGCCCCCCAACGCGCCTCCCAGGTCCCCCAGGCCCCTTTGCTTTCTCCCTCCTACTCCATGCCTCTTCAACTCGCCCCCCAGGCCCTTCACCGCGTGGAGTTTGGTGGGGCCTCCAAGGGCAACCCTTTGCCATCCCGTGTAACGCCCCCCAACGCGCCTCCCAGGTCCCCCAGGCCCCTTTGCTTTCTCCCTCCTACTCCATGCCTCTTCAACTCGCCCCCCAGGCCCTTCACCGCGTGGAGTTTGGTGGGGCCTCCAAGGGCAACCCTTTGCCATCCCGTGTAACGCCCCCCAACGCGCCTCCCAGGTCCCCCAGGCCCCTTTGCTTTCTCCCTCCTACTCCATGCCTCTTCAACTCGCCCCCCAGGCCCTTCACCGCGTGGAGTTTGGTGGGGCCTCCAAGGGCAACCCTTTGCCATCCCGTGTAACGCCCCCCAACGCGCCTCCCAGGTCCCCCAGGCCCCTTTGCTTTCTCCCTCCTACTCCATGCCTCTTCAACTCGCCCCCCAGGCCCTTCACCGCGTGGAGTTTGGTGGGGCCTCCAAGGGCAACCCTTTGCCATCCCGTGTAACGCCCCCCAACGCGCCTCCCAGGTCCCCCAGGCCCCTTTGCTTTCTCCCTCCTACTCCATGCCTCTTCAACTCGCCCCCCAGGCCCTTCACCGCGTGGAGTTTGGTGGGGCCTCCAAGGGCAACCCTTTGCCATCCCGTGTAACGCCCCCCAACGCGCCTCCCAGGTCCCCCAGGCCCCTTTGCTTTCTCCCTCCTACTCCATGCCTCTTCAACTCGCCCCCCAGGCCCTTCACCGCGTGGAGTTTGGTGGGGCCTCCAAGGGCAACCCTTTGCCATCCCGTGTAACGCCCCCCAACGCGCCTCCCAGGTCCCCCAGGCCCCTTTGCTTTCTCCCTCCTACTCCATGCCTCTTCAACTCGCCCCCCAGGCCCTTCACCGCGTGGAGTTTGGTGGGGCCTCCAAGGGCAACCCTTTGCCATCCCGTGTAACGCCCCCCAACGCGCCTCCCAGGTCCCCCAGGCCCCTTTGCTTTCTCCCTCCTACTCCATGCCTCTTCAACTCGCCCCCCAGGCCCTTCACCGCGTGGAGTTTGGTGGGGCCTCCAAGGGCAACCCTTTGCCATCCCGTGTAACGCCCCCCAACGCGCCTCCCAGGTCCCCCAGGCCCCTTTGCTTTCTCCCTCCTACTCCATGCCTCTTCAACTCGCCCCCCAGGCCCTTCACCGCGTGGAGTTTGGTGGGGCCTCCAAGGGCAACCCTTTGCCATCCCGTGTAACGCCCCCCAACGCGCCTCCCAGGTCCCCCAGGCCCCTTTGCTTTCTCCCTCCTACTCCATGCCTCTTCAACTCGCCCCCCAGGCCCTTCACCGCGTGGAGTTTGGTGGGGCCTCCAAGGGCAACCCTTTGCCATCCCGTGTAACGCCCCCCAACGCGCCTCCCAGGTCCCCCAGGCCCCTTTGCTTTCTCCCTCCTACTCCATGCCTCTTCAACTCGCCCCCCAGGCCCTTCACCGCGTGGAGTTTGGTGGGGCCTCCAAGGGCAACCCTTTGCCATCCCGTGTAACGCCCCCCAACGCGCCTCCCAGGTCCCCCAGGCCCCTTTGCTTTCTCCCTCCTACTCCATGCCTCTTCAACTCGCCCCCCAGGCCCTTCACCGCGTGGAGTTTGGTGGGGCCTCCAAGGGCAACCCTTTGCCATCCCGTGTAACGCCCCCCAACGCGCCTCCCAGGTCCCCCAGGCCCCTTTGCTTTCTCCCTCCTACTCCATGCCTCTTCAACTCGCCCCCCAGGCCCTTCACCGCGTGGAGTTTGGTGGGGCCTCCAAGGGCAACCCTTTGCCATCCCGTGTAACGCCCCCCAACGCGCCTCCCAGGTCCCCCAGGCCCCTTTGCTTTCTCCCTCCTACTCCATGCCTCTTCAACTCGCCCCCCAGGCCCTTCACCGCGTGGAGTTTGGTGGGGCCTCCAAGGGCAACCCTTTGCCATCCCGTGTAACGCCCCCCAACGCGCCTCCCAGGTCCCCCAGGCCCCTTTGCTTTCTCCCTCCTACTCCATGCCTCTTCAACTCGCCCCCCAGGCCCTTCACCGCGTGGAGTTTGGTGGGGCCTCCAAGGGCAACCCTTTGCCATCCCGTGTAACGCCCCCCAACGCGCCTCCCAGGTCCCCCAGGCCCCTTTGCTTTCTCCCTCCTACTCCATGCCTCTTCAACTCGCCCCCCAGGCCCTTCACCGCGTGGAGTTTGGTGGGGCCTCCAAGGGCAACCCTTTGCCATCCCGTGTAACGCCCCCCAACGCGCCTCCCAGGTCCCCCAGGCCCCTTTGCTTTCTCCCTCCTACTCCATGCCTCTTCAACTCGCCCCCCAGGCCCTTCACCGCGTGGAGTTTGGTGGGGCCTCCAAGGGCAACCCTTTGCCATCCCGTGTAACGCCCCCCAACGCGCCTCCCAGGTCCCCCAGGCCCCTTTGCTTTCTCCCTCCTACTCCATGCCTCTTCAACTCGCCCCCCAGGCCCTTCACCGCGTGGAGTTTGGTGGGGCCTCCAAGGGCAACCCTTTGCCATCCCGTGTAACGCCCCCCAACGCGCCTCCCAGGTCCCCCAGGCCCCTTTGCTTTCTCCCTCCTACTCCATGCCTCTTCAACTCGCCCCCCAGGCCCTTCACCGCGTGGAGTTTGGTGGGGCCTCCAAGGGCAACCCTTTGCCATCCCGTGTAACGCCCCCCAACGCGCCTCCCAGGTCCCCCAGGCCCCTTTGCTTTCTCCCTCCTACTCCATGCCTCTTCAACTCGCCCCCCAGGCCCTTCACCGCGTGGAGTTTGGTGGGGCCTCCAAGGGCAACCCTTTGCCATCCCGTGTAACGCCCCCCAACGCGCCTCCCAGGTCCCCCAGGCCCCTTTGCTTTCTCCCTCCTACTCCATGCCTCTTCAACTCGCCCCCCAGGCCCTTCACCGCGTGGAGTTTGGTGGGGCCTCCAAGGGCAACCCTTTGCCATCCCGTGTAACGCCCCCCAACGCGCCTCCCAGGTCCCCCAGGCCCCTTTGCTTTCTCCCTCCTACTCCATGCCTCTTCAACTCGCCCCCCAGGCCCTTCACCGCGTGGAGTTTGGTGGGGCCTCCAAGGGCAACCCTTTGCCATCCCGTGTAACGCCCCCCAACGCGCCTCCCAGGTCCCCCAGGCCCCTTTGCTTTCTCCCTCCTACTCCATGCCTCTTCAACTCGCCCCCCAGGCCCTTCACCGCGTGGAGTTTGGTGGGGCCTCCAAGGGCAACCCTTTGCCATCCCGTGTAACGCCCCCCAACGCGCCTCCCAGGTCCCCCAGGCCCCTTTGCTTTCTCCCTCCTACTCCATGCCTCTTCAACTCGCCCCCCAGGCCCTTCACCGCGTGGAGTTTGGTGGGGCCTCCAAGGGCAACCCTTTGCCATCCCGTGTAACGCCCCCCAACGCGCCTCCCAGGTCCCCCAGGCCCCTTTGCTTTCTCCCTCCTACTCCATGCCTCTTCAACTCGCCCCCCAGGCCCTTCACCGCGTGGAGTTTGGTGGGGCCTCCAAGGGCAACCCTTTGCCATCCCGTGTAACGCCCCCCAACGCGCCTCCCAGGTCCCCCAGGCCCCTTTGCTTTCTCCCTCCTACTCCATGCCTCTTCAACTCGCCCCCCAGGCCCTTCACCGCGTGGAGTTTGGTGGGGCCTCCAAGGGCAACCCTTTGCCATCCCGTGTAACGCCCCCCAACGCGCCTCCCAGGTCCCCCAGGCCCCTTTGCTTTCTCCCTCCTACTCCATGCCTCTTCAACTCGCCCCCCAGGCCCTTCACCGCGTGGAGTTTGGTGGGGCCTCCAAGGGCAACCCTTTGCCATCCCGTGTAACGCCCCCCAACGCGCCTCCCAGGTCCCCCAGGCCCCTTTGCTTTCTCCCTCCTACTCCATGCCTCTTCAACTCGCCCCCCAGGCCCTTCACCGCGTGGAGTTTGGTGGGGCCTCCAAGGGCAACCCTTTGCCATCCCGTGTAACGCCCCCCAACGCGCCTCCCAGGTCCCCCAGGCCCCTTTGCTTTCTCCCTCCTACTCCATGCCTCTTCAACTCGCCCCCCAGGCCCTTCACCGCGTGGAGTTTGGTGGGGCCTCCAAGGGCAACCCTTTGCCATCCCGTGTAACGCCCCCCAACGCGCCTCCCAGGTCCCCCAGGCCCCTTTGCTTTCTCCCTCCTACTCCATGCCTCTTCAACTCGCCCCCCAGGCCCTTCACCGCGTGGAGTTTGGTGGGGCCTCCAAGGGCAACCCTTTGCCATCCCGTGTAACGCCCCCCAACGCGCCTCCCAGGTCCCCCAGGCCCCTTTGCTTTCTCCCTCCTACTCCATGCCTCTTCAACTCGCCCCCCAGGCCCTTCACCGCGTGGAGTTTGGTGGGGCCTCCAAGGGCAACCCTTTGCCATCCCGTGTAACGCCCCCCAACGCGCCTCCCAGGTCCCCCAGGCCCCTTTGCTTTCTCCCTCCTACTCCATGCCTCTTCAACTCGCCCCCCAGGCCCTTCACCGCGTGGAGTTTGGTGGGGCCTCCAAGGGCAACCCTTTGCCATCCCGTGTAACGCCCCCCAACGCGCCTCCCAGGTCCCCCAGGCCCCTTTGCTTTCTCCCTCCTACTCCATGCCTCTTCAACTCGCCCCCCAGGCCCTTCACCGCGTGGAGTTTGGTGGGGCCTCCAAGGGCAACCCTTTGCCATCCCGTGTAACGCCCCCCAACGCGCCTCCCAGGTCCCCCAGGCCCCTTTGCTTTCTCCCTCCTACTCCATGCCTCTTCAACTCGCCCCCCAGGCCCTTCACCGCGTGGAGTTTGGTGGGGCCTCCAAGGGCAACCCTTTGCCATCCCGTGTAACGCCCCCCAACGCGCCTCCCAGGTCCCCCAGGCCCCTTTGCTTTCTCCCTCCTACTCCATGCCTCTTCAACTCGCCCCCCAGGCCCTTCACCGCGTGGAGTTTGGTGGGGCCTCCAAGGGCAACCCTTTGCCATCCCGTGTAACGCCCCCCAACGCGCCTCCCAGGTCCCCCAGGCCCCTTTGCTTTCTCCCTCCTACTCCATGCCTCTTCAACTCGCCCCCCAGGCCCTTCACCGCGTGGAGTTTGGTGGGGCCTCCAAGGGCAACCCTTTGCCATCCCGTGTAACGCCCCCCAACGCGCCTCCCAGGTCCCCCAGGCCCCTTTGCTTTCTCCCTCCTACTCCATGCCTCTTCAACTCGCCCCCCAGGCCCTTCACCGCGTGGAGTTTGGTGGGGCCTCCAAGGGCAACCCTTTGCCATCCCGTGTAACGCCCCCCAACGCGCCTCCCAGGTCCCCCAGGCCCCTTTGCTTTCTCCCTCCTACTCCATGCCTCTTCAACTCGCCCCCCAGGCCCTTCACCGCGTGGAGTTTGGTGGGGCCTCCAAGGGCAACCCTTTGCCATCCCGTGTAACGCCCCCCAACGCGCCTCCCAGGTCCCCCAGGCCCCTTTGCTTTCTCCCTCCTACTCCATGCCTCTTCAACTCGCCCCCCAGGCCCTTCACCGCGTGGAGTTTGGTGGGGCCTCCAAGGGCAACCCTTTGCCATCCCGTGTAACGCCCCCCAACGCGCCTCCCAGGTCCCCCAGGCCCCTTTGCTTTCTCCCTCCTACTCCATGCCTCTTCAACTCGCCCCCCAGGCCCTTCACCGCGTGGAGTTTGGTGGGGCCTCCAAGGGCAACCCTTTGCCATCCCGTGTAACGCCCCCCAACGCGCCTCCCAGGTCCCCCAGGCCCCTTTGCTTTCTCCCTCCTACTCCATGCCTCTTCAACTCGCCCCCCAGGCCCTTCACCGCGTGGAGTTTGGTGGGGCCTCCAAGGGCAACCCTTTGCCATCCCGTGTAACGCCCCCCAACGCGCCTCCCAGGTCCCCCAGGCCCCTTTGCTTTCTCCCTCCTACTCCATGCCTCTTCAACTCGCCCCCCAGGCCCTTCACCGCGTGGAGTTTGGTGGGGCCTCCAAGGGCAACCCTTTGCCATCCCGTGTAACGCCCCCCAACGCGCCTCCCAGGTCCCCCAGGCCCCTTTGCTTTCTCCCTCCTACTCCATGCCTCTTCAGCCCGCCCCCCAGGCCCTTCACCGCGTGGAGTTTGGTGGGGCCTCCAAGGGCAACCCTTTGCCATCCCGTGTAACGCCCCCCAACGCGCCTCCCAGGTCCCCCAGGCCCCTTTGCTTTCTCCCTCCTACTCCATGCCTCTTCAACTCGCCCCCCAGGCCCTTCACCGCGTGGAGTTTGGTGGGGCCTCCAAGGGCAACCCTTTGCCATCCCGTGTAACGCCCCCCAACGCGCCTCCCAGGTCCCCCAGGCCCCTTTGCTTTCTCCCTCCTACTCCATGCCTCTTCAACTCGCCCCCCAGGCCCTTCACCGCGTGGAGTTTGGTGGGGCCTCCAAGGGCAACCCTTTGCCATCCCGTGTAACGCCCCCCAACGCGCCTCCCAGGTCCCCCAGGCCCCTTTGCTTTCTCCCTCCTACTCCATGCCTCTTCAACTCGCCCCCCAGGCCCTTCACCGCGTGGAGTTTGGTGGGGCCTCCAAGGGCAACCCTTTGCCATCCCGTGTAACGCCCCCCAACGCGCCTCCCAGGTCCCCCAGGCCCCTTTGCTTTCTCCCTCCTACTCCATGCCTCTTCAACTCGCCCCCCAGGCCCTTCACCGCGTGGAGTTTGGTGGGGCCTCCAAGGGCAACCCTTTGCCATCCCGTGTAACGCCCCCCAACGCGCCTCCCAGGTCCCCCAGGCCCCTTTGCTTTCTCCCTCCTACTCCATGCCTCTTCAACTCGCCCCCCAGGCCCTTCACCGCGTGGAGTTTGGTGGGGCCTCCAAGGGCAACCCTTTGCCATCCCGTGTAACGCCCCCCAACGCGCCTCCCAGGTCCCCCAGGCCCCTTTGCTTTCTCCCTCCTACTCCATGCCTCTTCAACTCGCCCCCCAGGCCCTTCACCGCGTGGAGTTTGGTGGGGCCTCCAAGGGCAACCCTTTGCCATCCCGTGTAACGCCCCCCAACGCGCCTCCCAGGTCCCCCAGGCCCCTTTGCTTTCTCCCTCCTACTCCATGCCTCTTCAACTCGCCCCCCAGGCCCTTCACCGCGTGGAGTTTGGTGGGGCCTCCAAGGGCAACCCTTTGCCATCCCGTGTAACGCCCCCCAACGCGCCTCCCAGGTCCCCCAGGCCCCTTTGCTTTCTCCCTCCTACTCCATGCCTCTTCAACTCGCCCCCCAGGCCCTTCACCGCGTGGAGTTTGGTGGGGCCTCCAAGGGCAACCCTTTGCCATCCCGTGTAACGCCCCCCAACGCGCCTCCCAGGTCCCCCAGGCCCCTTTGCTTTCTCCCTCCTACTCCATGCCTCTTCAACTCGCCCCCCAGGCCCTTCACCGCGTGGAGTTTGGTGGGGCCTCCAAGGGCAACCCTTTGCCATCCCGTGTAACGCCCCCCAACGCGCCTCCCAGGTCCCCCAGGCCCCTTTGCTTTCTCCCTCCTACTCCATGCCTCTTCAACTCGCCCCCCAGGCCCTTCACCGCGTGGAGTTTGGTGGGGCCTCCAAGGGCAACCCTTTGCCATCCCGTGTAACGCCCCCCAACGCGCCTCCCAGGTCCCCCAGGCCCCTTTGCTTTCTCCCTCCTACTCCATGCCTCTTCAACTCGCCCCCCAGGCCCTTCACCGCGTGGAGTTTGGTGGGGCCTCCAAGGGCAACCCTTTGCCATCCCGTGTAACGCCCCCCAACGCGCCTCCCAGGTCCCCCAGGCCCCTTTGCTTTCTCCCTCCTACTCCATGCCTCTTCAACTCGCCCCCCAGGCCCTTCACCGCGTGGAGTTTGGTGGGGCCTCCAAGGGCAACCCTTTGCCATCCCGTGTAACGCCCCCCAACGCGCCTCCCAGGTCCCCCAGGCCCCTTTGCTTTCTCCCTCCTACTCCATGCCTCTTCAACTCGCCCCCCAGGCCCTTCACCGCGTGGAGTTTGGTGGGGCCTCCAAGGGCAACCCTTTGCCATCCCGTGTAACGCCCCCCAACGCGCCTCCCAGGTCCCCCAGGCCCCTTTGCTTTCTCCCTCCTACTCCATGCCTCTTCAACTCGCCCCCCAGGCCCTTCACCGCGTGGAGTTTGGTGGGGCCTCCAAGGGCAACCCTTTGCCATCCCGTGTAACGCCCCCCAACGCGCCTCCCAGGTCCCCCAGGCCCCTTTGCTTTCTCCCTCCTACTCCATGCCTCTTCAACTCGCCCCCCAGGCCCTTCACCGCGTGGAGTTTGGTGGGGCCTCCAAGGGCAACCCTTTGCCATCCCGTGTAACGCCCCCCAACGCGCCTCCCAGGTCCCCCAGGCCCCTTTGCTTTCTCCCTCCTACTCCATGCCTCTTCAACTCGCCCCCCAGGCCCTTCACCGCGTGGAGTTTGGTGGGGCCTCCAAGGGCAACCCTTTGCCATCCCGTGTAACGCCCCCCAACGCGCCTCCCAGGTCCCCCAGGCCCCTTTGCTTTCTCCCTCCTACTCCATGCCTCTTCAACTCGCCCCCCAGGCCCTTCACCGCGTGGAGTTTGGTGGGGCCTCCAAGGGCAACCCTTTGCCATCCCGTGTAACGCCCCCCAACGCGCCTCCCAGGTCCCCCAGGCCCCTTTGCTTTCTCCCTCCTACTCCATGCCTCTTCAACTCGCCCCCCAGGCCCTTCACCGCGTGGAGTTTGGTGGGGCCTCCAAGGGCAACCCTTTGCCATCCCGTGTAACGCCCCCCAACGCGCCTCCCAGGTCCCCCAGGCCCCTTTGCTTTCTCCCTCCTACTCCATGCCTCTTCAACTCGCCCCCCAGGCCCTTCACCGCGTGGAGTTTGGTGGGGCCTCCAAGGGCAACCCTTTGCCATCCCGTGTAACGCCCCCCAACGCGCCTCCCAGGTCCCCCAGGCCCCTTTGCTTTCTCCCTCCTACTCCATGCCTCTTCAACTCGCCCCCCAGGCCCTTCACCGCGTGGAGTTTGGTGGGGCCTCCAAGGGCAACCCTTTGCCATCCCGTGTAACGCCCCCCAACGCGCCTCCCAGGTCCCCCAGGCCCCTTTGCTTTCTCCCTCCTACTCCATGCCTCTTCAACTCGCCCCCCAGGCCCTTCACCGCGTGGAGTTTGGTGGGGCCTCCAAGGGCAACCCTTTGCCATCCCGTGTAACGCCCCCCAACGCGCCTCCCAGGTCCCCCAGGCCCCTTTGCTTTCTCCCTCCTACTCCATGCCTCTTCAACTCGCCCCCCAGGCCCTTCACCGCGTGGAGTTTGGTGGGGCCTCCAAGGGCAACCCTTTGCCATCCCGTGTAACGCCCCCCAACGCGCCTCCCAGGTCCCCCAGGCCCCTTTGCTTTCTCCCTCCTACTCCATGCCTCTTCAACTCGCCCCCCAGGCCCTTCACCGCGTGGAGTTTGGTGGGGCCTCCAAGGGCAACCCTTTGCCATCCCGTGTAACGCCCCCCAACGCGCCTCCCAGGTCCCCCAGGCCCCTTTGCTTTCTCCCTCCTACTCCATGCCTCTTCAACTCGCCCCCCAGGCCCTTCACCGCGTGGAGTTTGGTGGGGCCTCCAAGGGCAACCCTTTGCCATCCCGTGTAACGCCCCCCAACGCGCCTCCCAGGTCCCCCAGGCCCCTTTGCTTTCTCCCTCCTACTCCATGCCTCTTCAACTCGCCCCCCAGGCCCTTCACCGCGTGGAGTTTGGTGGGGCCTCCAAGGGCAACCCTTTGCCATCCCGTGTAACGCCCCCCAACGCGCCTCCCAGGTCCCCCAGGCCCCTTTGCTTTCTCCCTCCTACTCCATGCCTCTTCAACTCGCCCCCCAGGCCCTTCACCGCGTGGAGTTTGGTGGGGCCTCCAAGGGCAACCCTTTGCCATCCCGTGTAACGCCCCCCAACGCGCCTCCCAGGTCCCCCAGGCCCCTTTGCTTTCTCCCTCCTACTCCATGCCTCTTCAACTCGCCCCCCAGGCCCTTCACCGCGTGGAGTTTGGTGGGGCCTCCAAGGGCAACCCTTTGCCATCCCGTGTAACGCCCCCCAACGCGCCTCCCAGGTCCCCCAGGCCCCTTTGCTTTCTCCCTCCTACTCCATGCCTCTTCAGCCCGCCCCCCAGGCCCTTCACCGCGTGGAGTTTGGTGGGGCCTCCAAGGGCAACCCTTTGCCATCCCGTGTAACGCCCCCCAACGCGCCTCCCAGGTCCCCCAGGCCCCTTTGCTTTCTCCCTCCTACTCCATGCCTCTTCAACTCGCCCCCCAGGCCCTTCACCGCGTGGAGTTTGGTGGGGCCTCCAAGGGCAACCCTTTGCCATCCCGTGTAACGCCCCCCAACGCGCCTCCCAGGTCCCCCAGGCCCCTTTGCTTTCTCCCTCCTACTCCATGCCTCTTCAGCCCGCCCCCCAGGCCCTTCACCGCGTGGAGTTTGGTGGGGCCTCCAAGGGCAACCCTTTGCCATCCCGTGTAACGCCCCCCAACGCGCCTCCCAGGTCCCCCAGGCCCCTTTGCTTTCTCCCTCCTACTCCATGCCTCTTCAACTCGCCCCCCAGGCCCTTCACCGCGTGGAGTTTGGTGGGGCCTCCAAGGGCAACCCTTTGCCATCCCGTGTAACGCCCCCCAACGCGCCTCCCAGGTCCCCCAGGCCCCTTTGCTTTCTCCCTCCTACTCCATGCCTCTTCAACTCGCCCCCCAGGCCCTTCACCGCGTGGAGTTTGGTGGGGCCTCCAAGGGCAACCCTTTGCCATCCCGTGTAACGCCCCCCAACGCGCCTCCCAGGTCCCCCAGGCCCCTTTGCTTTCTCCCTCCTACTCCATGCCTCTTCAACTCGCCCCCCAGGCCCTTCACCGCGTGGAGTTTGGTGGGGCCTCCAAGGGCAACCCTTTGCCATCCCGTGTAACGCCCCCCAACGCGCCTCCCAGGTCCCCCAGGCCCCTTTGCTTTCTCCCTCCTACTCCATGCCTCTTCAACTCGCCCCCCAGGCCCTTCACCGCGTGGAGTTTGGTGGGGCCTCCAAGGGCAACCCTTTGCCATCCCGTGTAACGCCCCCCAACGCGCCTCCCAGGTCCCCCAGGCCCCTTTGCTTTCTCCCTCCTACTCCATGCCTCTTCAACTCGCCCCCCAGGCCCTTCACCGCGTGGAGTTTGGTGGGGCCTCCAAGGGCAACCCTTTGCCATCCCGTGTAACGCCCCCCAACGCGCCTCCCAGGTCCCCCAGGCCCCTTTGCTTTCTCCCTCCTACTCCATGCCTCTTCAACTCGCCCCCCAGGCCCTTCACCGCGTGGAGTTTGGTGGGGCCTCCAAGGGCAACCCTTTGCCATCCCGTGTAACGCCCCCCAACGCGCCTCCCAGGTCCCCCAGGCCCCTTTGCTTTCTCCCTCCTACTCCATGCCTCTTCAACTCGCCCCCCAGGCCCTTCACCGCGTGGAGTTTGGTGGGGCCTCCAAGGGCAACCCTTTGCCATCCCGTGTAACGCCCCCCAACGCGCCTCCCAGGTCCCCCAGGCCCCTTTGCTTTCTCCCTCCTACTCCATGCCTCTTCAACTCGCCCCCCAGGCCCTTCACCGCGTGGAGTTTGGTGGGGCCTCCAAGGGCAACCCTTTGCCATCCCGTGTAACGCCCCCCAACGCGCCTCCCAGGTCCCCCAGGCCCCTTTGCTTTCTCCCTCCTACTCCATGCCTCTTCAACTCGCCCCCCAGGCCCTTCACCGCGTGGAGTTTGGTGGGGCCTCCAAGGGCAACCCTTTGCCATCCCGTGTAACGCCCCCCAACGCGCCTCCCAGGTCCCCCAGGCCCCTTTGCTTTCTCCCTCCTACTCCATGCCTCTTCAACTCGCCCCCCAGGCCCTTCACCGCGTGGAGTTTGGTGGGGCCTCCAAGGGCAACCCTTTGCCATCCCGTGTAACGCCCCCCAACGCGCCTCCCAGGTCCCCCAGGCCCCTTTGCTTTCTCCCTCCTACTCCATGCCTCTTCAACTCGCCCCCCAGGCCCTTCACCGCGTGGAGTTTGGTGGGGCCTCCAAGGGCAACCCTTTGCCATCCCGTGTAACGCCCCCCAACGCGCCTCCCAGGTCCCCCAGGCCCCTTTGCTTTCTCCCTCCTACTCCATGCCTCTTCAACTCGCCCCCCAGGCCCTTCACCGCGTGGAGTTTGGTGGGGCCTCCAAGGGCAACCCTTTGCCATCCCGTGTAACGCCCCCCAACGCGCCTCCCAGGTCCCCCAGGCCCCTTTGCTTTCTCCCTCCTACTCCATGCCTCTTCAACTCGCCCCCCAGGCCCTTCACCGCGTGGAGTTTGGTGGGGCCTCCAAGGGCAACCCTTTGCCATCCCGTGTAACGCCCCCCAACGCGCCTCCCAGGTCCCCCAGGCCCCTTTGCTTTCTCCCTCCTACTCCATGCCTCTTCAACTCGCCCCCCAGGCCCTTCACCGCGTGGAGTTTGGTGGGGCCTCCAAGGGCAACCCTTTGCCATCCCGTGTAACGCCCCCCAACGCGCCTCCCAGGTCCCCCAGGCCCCTTTGCTTTCTCCCTCCTACTCCATGCCTCTTCAACTCGCCCCCCAGGCCCTTCACCGCGTGGAGTTTGGTGGGGCCTCCAAGGGCAACCCTTTGCCATCCCGTGTAACGCCCCCCAACGCGCCTCCCAGGTCCCCCAGGCCCCTTTGCTTTCTCCCTCCTACTCCATGCCTCTTCAACTCGCCCCCCAGGCCCTTCACCGCGTGGAGTTTGGTGGGGCCTCCAAGGGCAACCCTTTGCCATCCCGTGTAACGCCCCCCAACGCGCCTCCCAGGTCCCCCAGGCCCCTTTGCTTTCTCCCTCCTACTCCATGCCTCTTCAACTCGCCCCCCAGGCCCTTCACCGCGTGGAGTTTGGTGGGGCCTCCAAGGGCAACCCTTTGCCATCCCGTGTAACGCCCCCCAACGCGCCTCCCAGGTCCCCCAGGCCCCTTTGCTTTCTCCCTCCTACTCCATGCCTCTTCAACTCGCCCCCCAGGCCCTTCACCGCGTGGAGTTTGGTGGGGCCTCCAAGGGCAACCCTTTGCCATCCCGTGTAACGCCCCCCAACGCGCCTCCCAGGTCCCCCAGGCCCCTTTGCTTTCTCCCTCCTACTCCATGCCTCTTCAGCCCGCCCCCCAGGCCCTTCACCGCGTGGAGTTTGGTGGGGCCTCCAAGGGCAACCCTTTGCCATCCCGTGTAACGCCCCCCAACGCGCCTCCCAGGTCCCCCAGGCCCCTTTGCTTTCTCCCTCCTACTCCATGCCTCTTCAACTCGCCCCCCAGGCCCTTCACCGCGTGGAGTTTGGTGGGGCCTCCAAGGGCAACCCTTTGCCATCCCGTGTAACGCCCCCCAACGCGCCTCCCAGGTCCCCCAGGCCCCTTTGCTTTCTCCCTCCTACTCCATGCCTCTTCAACTCGCCCCCCAGGCCCTTCACCGCGTGGAGTTTGGTGGGGCCTCCAAGGGCAACCCTTTGCCATCCCGTGTAACGCCCCCCAACGCGCCTCCCAGGTCCCCCAGGCCCCTTTGCTTTCTCCCTCCTACTCCATGCCTCTTCAACTCGCCCCCCAGGCCCTTCACCGCGTGGAGTTTGGTGGGGCCTCCAAGGGCAACCCTTTGCCATCCCGTGTAACGCCCCCCAACGCGCCTCCCAGGTCCCCCAGGCCCCTTTGCTTTCTCCCTCCTACTCCATGCCTCTTCAGCCCGCCCCCCAGGCCCTTCACCGCGTGGAGTTTGGTGGGGCCTCCAAGGGCAACCCTTTGCCATCCCGTGTAACGCCCCCCAACGCGCCTCCCAGGTCCCCCAGGCCCCTTTGCTTTCTCCCTCCTACTCCATGCCTCTTCAACTCGCCCCCCAGGCCCTTCACCGCGTGGAGTTTGGTGGGGCCTCCAAGGGCAACCCTTTGCCATCCCGTGTAACGCCCCCCAACGCGCCTCCCAGGTCCCCCAGGCCCCTTTGCTTTCTCCCTCCTACTCCATGCCTCTTCAGCCCGCCCCCCAGGCCCTTCACCGCGTGGAGTTTGGTGGGGCCTCCAAGGGCAACCCTTTGCCATCCCGTGTAACGCCCCCCAACGCGCCTCCCAGGTCCCCCAGGCCCCTTTGCTTTCTCCCTCCTACTCCATGCCTCTTCAACTCGCCCCCCAGGCCCTTCACCGCGTGGAGTTTGGTGGGGCCTCCAAGGGCAACCCTTTGCCATCCCGTGTAACGCCCCCCAACGCGCCTCCCAGGTCCCCCAGGCCCCTTTGCTTTCTCCCTCCTACTCCATGCCTCTTCAACTCGCCCCCCAGGCCCTTCACCGCGTGGAGTTTGGTGGGGCCTCCAAGGGCAACCCTTTGCCATCCCGTGTAACGCCCCCCAACGCGCCTCCCAGGTCCCCCAGGCCCCTTTGCTTTCTCCCTCCTACTCCATGCCTCTTCAACTCGCCCCCCAGGCCCTTCACCGCGTGGAGTTTGGTGGGGCCTCCAAGGGCAACCCTTTGCCATCCCGTGTAACGCCCCCCAACGCGCCTCCCAGGTCCCCCAGGCCCCTTTGCTTTCTCCCTCCTACTCCATGCCTCTTCAGCCCGCCCCCCAGGCCCTTCACTGCATGGATTTACATGGGGCCTTCAAGAGCAACCCTTGTCCGTGTCCCCTCCCCCCGGTCACCCCTTGCCCCTCCTTGCTCACTCACTGTGCCTTCCTCTCCCTCCGCCACCTCACCTCTTCCCGCAGGCCCTTTACCGCATGGAGTTTGACGGGGCTTCCAAGGGCAACCCAGGGCGGGCAGGGGCGGGGTCTGTTCTGTTGGATGAACAAGGCAACGAGGTGAGGCGGGATTGGGCTGTAGGCATGAGGTGCTTGCTCTAGGTATTGGCTTGACGGGGCATGTAAGAGCAACCCAGAACAGGCAGGGGTGGGACGGGGTTTGTGCTGTGGGTGGGACGAGCACGGGAATGAGGTGAGCTTGGGGAAGGGGAGTGGGGTGAGTGGGGGGGCGACGAGGTGGGGCGGGGTGGGGATAGGCAGGAAGGGTGGGTGTCTGATCTAACTGCATGAAGCTGGTTTGACGGGGCATCCAAGGGCAACCCGGGGCGGGCAGCGGTGGAATCGGTGCTGTGGGGACGAGCGTGGCAACGAGGTGAGTGGGGGGGAGGGGGGGTAAGGAGGTGAGGGTGGCCTTTGGGTTGGGCTGAGAGGTGAGCTTTGGGTGGCAAGGGCTACCTGGGGCGGGCAGGGGTGGGATCGGTGCTGAGCGCGGCAACGAGGTGAGGCGGGCTTTGAGGTTGGATAAGGGAAGAAGGGCGTGGGCATGAGGGAGGGTGTAGGCCGGGGCACATGCAACATGGCAGAGTATTGGACGTCCATAGGGGGCATGGAATCCAGAAAAAAAAAAAAAAAAAAAAAACACTCTCTTTCCACAATTCCATCTGCCCCTCCTGCCTCGTCCTTCCTCTCTCCCCCATTCTTCCCACCCCATTTAATCACCAGTTGGTGTGCATGCGGGAGGGCGTGGGGCACGGCACGTGCAACATGGCAGAGTATCGCGCGTTCATAGGGGGGCTGGAGCTGGCACTGGCGCTTGGGATCACACGGCTTCACGTGCAAGGAGACTCCATGCTCGTCGTCATGCAGGTGAAACAGCTGGGATGCATTGTACGGTATGTGTTTACTTAAAAGGTCACCTTGTGGCCGCACATGCAATGCAATGCAACTTGGCAAGGGGGTATCGCGTGTTCATATATATAGGGGGCGTGGAGCTGGCACTGGCTCTTGGCATCACCCGGCTGCACGTCCAAGGGGACTCCATGCTAGTGGTCATGCAGGTGGGTGGGATGTTGGATGAATGGTCTAGGTGCGACGGCATGGTGGGTGCTGAGCATTGGCCACTCACAGGGGGCGTGGAGCTGGCACTGGCTCTTGGCATCACCCGGCTGCACGTTCAAAGGGACTCCATGCTCGTGGTCACACACACATGCCACCCTCCCGCTCCCCACACACACGCACCCACAGGTGCAGAAGAAGTGGAAGGTAAATGCGGAGATGCTGAAAGGAGGAGTGCAAGCAAGCACATGCACTCGGACACAAGGACACAAGCACACAAGCACACACATGGTACTCTTCTCCCCCCCAAATAACACACACCCGCAGGTGCAGAAGAAGTGGAAGGTGAATGCGGAGATGCTGAGGGAGGAATGCAAGCAAGCACAGGAGTTGGTATCTCGGTTCAAAGAAATCTCCATCCGCCACGTGCCCAGGGTATGTGTCACGTACTCTGTGTCATGTACATGTGTCATGTACTGTGTGGCATGGACTATGGTCTACGTGTCACGTACTGTGAGTATTGTCACATCACGTACGTAACCCCCATCCTCTCTTATCGCCTCTCATCAATCCTTGCCACCCCTTTTTAACTCTCTTCACACCTCACCACTCTGCACCACCCCTCATCACTCCTCATCACCGCTCACCACCTTTCCAGGAGTGCAACCAGCTGGCGGATCTCCTCTCCAACGAAGCCGTGCCTCTAAAAGGTCAGTCCGTCAGAACACTTGAAACCATTAATAGTACTTGTGAGAATTCTCGAAAGTGACACATCAATGAATTCTCTAGCAGGTCAGTCAGTGAACCCTTAGGCCAGCATGGTACTTGTAGGAATTCTCATGGCTCCAACCCCCCTCCTCTCTCCCTCCCCATCCCATATCTCCTCCGCCCTGTTTCCCTCCCTCTCTGTGCCAACCAGAGAACCAGCGCGTGATTATCCCTTCTACCTGCACAACCCGCTTGCTTTCTTCCCATGGCTACAACCCTCCTTCTCCCTCTTTCCCCATCCTTCTCCTCCCCCACCCTTCATCCCTCCTCTTGATTCCCCACCAGAGAACCAGCGGGTGATCATCCCCTCTACCTGCACAACCCGGTTTCTCCACAGCACCACCCCCTCCCTCTCGCTACCCTTCCCCAGGCCCATCTCTTGACTCAACCAAACCTGCCTCCTCTTACCCTCCCCCTTTCCGCCCATTGTTCCCATCCAGAGAACCAACGGGTAATAATCCCCTCTACCTGCACAACCCTCTTCCTCCACGGCACCACCCCATCCCCTTCCGTACCCTCTCCCAAGCCCATCCCCAGACGTCGCAGCCCCCCCAAAATCCGCTCCTCTAAAGCCTCCCTTTGACTAGCCTTGCTTGCAAGCACACGTGAGCTGCAACCGAGGCTTTAGTCACTTCAGCTGCGGCTGAGACCGCAACAGCAGCAGCACCACCACCACCCCCTCCCCTTCCGTACCCTCTCCCAAGCCCATCCCCAGACGTCGCAGCCCCCCCAAAATCCGCTCCTCGAAAACCGCTAGACCAACACAATGAGGTGCAGCCGCTGCCACAACATTGGTTGTGCCACAGCACCATCGCCAATAGCACCATCGCCAATAGCACCATCGCCAATAGCACCATCGCCAATAGCACCATCGCCAACAGCACCACCCCCTCCCCCTCCGTACCCTCCCCCAAGCCAATTCCCAGACGCGGCCGCCCCCCCAAGATCCGCTCCTCTCAAGCCTCCTGAGTCCTGACCAACACAGCGCTTCAAGCCCACGTCAGCTGCGGCTAGGCTATAGACTTGAAGCACATGTGAGCTGCGGCTAGGACGTGTGCAAACTCTATAGACTTTGCAGCAACGGATGCAGCAGTCCCACCTGTCGCTCCTCCTGACAACATCAAGATGACTCATGGGTCGACTCAGAATCGACACGGCAGACCACCGAAAATCCTGTCTCGTAAGGCCTCCTCCCGACGCAACACAGAGCCTCAACTCAAGTACTGTACCTGCACACATAAGCTGCGGCTTTTAGTGTGAAGGATTGGCGGGAAATTGCCCGAAGTCACACCTACAGTCGCGTGTGCTTTTTATAATATCAATATTCGAATGAAAAGTTTATGCACTAGAACAAGTGTTTGCTTATCTTCACATTGACGAGGACTGAAATTGTCACAGCGAATGCTTTAAAAGCCAGGTCCATGACAGATGATACCGTTATGCTGACAGTAAACAGCAACACGGTGGTAGTGACACTTAGACAAGAAAGTGTGTACCATGAGTAGGAAAGTTTTCCCTACAAGACTGGCAATCAAAACACATTAGTGTAAGTAAATATCTGCCAAAGTGTAACTCTAAAATAGTCCATGCAAAATCTAAATGTGCCGTACCACGCCGTATTCAGCTGTTCGCCCTCGCATTTGACATCGCAATGCGAGTAGTTTCCCTAGGGCCGAACAATCCCCATTTGTCACATTCCTCGCCCATTCCAACCATTGAACCGTAATTAGGCGCGGCGTGGGGCTTTTGGCGCGTATCGCAGTAGCTTAGGAGGCAAATGTGCTTCGTTGCGGCTTTGCAATCACTGACGACCCGCGACGCAGCTGACTTAGCTCTTAATGGCAAAGACTAAGTACTACGCGGTTCGGAAAGGACACCAGCCAGGAATTTATCTGACGTGGCCGGAATGTCAACGACAGGTAAGCAGCCGGAGTTAGGTATTTTATTACGTGGCGCTTCGGTTTGCTATGTATTTTCTTTGCTATCTCGTGCGGTTCAGTTCGGTTCCTCATGCTATAGCACGGTTCCAGCGCATTGTTGCCCAAGAACGCAACAGACGCCGTACACAACCGTGTTAGATTAATCGAAAACGAACGTCCTTTTCTCACCCCCAAGACTCCTCTCAACCCCCAAACCCAGGCGACAACAATGCAGGTTCTCCTTTTCCTTAGCATTGTACAATGTATATGCATCACACAGTCAGTCCAGTCCAGTCCAGTCCAGTCCACCATTTCGAATACACAATGTCCTCGTTATAATCTCTTCCAGGTGAATAATTTCAAAGGCAACGAGTACAAGACCTTTAAGACGCTGGATGAAGCCATGTCCTACCTCGCCCTGGCTAACATCTTCGTCTCTTCGCCCGTCACGCCAGCCGCGGAGGCTCCAAGTCACGCCTTTGTGCCTGCTGCTGCCACTACTGCTGACGCGCATACAAGTGCTGCTATTACTCTTTTTGCAGTCACAACAGGGGAATGCGCTGGTGTTGGTGAGTGCTCGAGTGCCTAGTTGTTCGTTTGTTACTACTAGTAACTCCTATCTCTTTTGAGAGGTGCAACATGATTTGCTGCGGCTGGTACCTGCATTCCCGTTCCTGCACTGCAGCTCAGGTCAACGGACCTGGGGACCTGGTCTAGTAACCGTTTCTTCTGTTTGATTCTACAAACTGCCTCACGCTTTCAGTACACAACACAGCCCTTCCCCCCATTCCTACTCACTTCCACTCACTACCTTCCTCTCTCCTCTCCCACTCACTCGAGGGCTTTCGTTTTTTCTTCTTTTCCCTTTTCCTCCCTCCCTTCCCACCTCACCTAAAGAATGTTTCTGAAAACAACCTCCCACTTTTCCTTACCCTCCCGCCTTTCCTTTCCCCCTCCCTTTCTACTCCACCCCACCATATGAGGAGGATATGCAGAGAGCCAGGGGGGAAGGGGGTGGTCTGTTGCAGGAGGGAGGGATGGGGAGGAGGGAGCGGGTGTGGGGAGGGAGAGGGGAGTGAGAGTAGCGGGAAGGCAGGGAGCTGTGAGGATGAGGAGAGGGGAGGACATGCGACCAGTCGTAGCATCCCTTGGGCTTCAAATAAACTCTAAGGTGAGTCTCAGGTGGATTCTCAGGTGAGTTTCCCTTCGTCATTCAAAGCAACCCTTCAGTCAACTCAAACGTGGGTTGGAAGCGAGACGAGGGGAGGACATGCGGCCACACACACACGTAGAGGCCCTCCAAACGCGCTCTACTGCATGTATTTCGTTTGATGTTGCTCTCCACTATGGACTTCGCTGGCACCTCCAAACGCAATATCTCCAGACACGCTCTACCGCATGCATGGACTTGAAGAAATGGTTCTGCAACTCCATGTTTCAAGGGGAGTGCCTGCCCCTGCTGGTCCCTCTGTATCTTCCCTACTCATTCATTGATATTTGGGCGCGTATCAAAACAACACACAACATCTTCGTTTCCTCTCCTTGGGTTCACAATCTGCCTTTCATTTCATTCCCCCGGGCCCTTAACTGCATGGGGTTTGACGGAGCCTCCAAGGGCAATCCATGTCCGTCCCCAAATGCTCTGGTCACCTCATTCGCTCCCTTCTGCTGCTGTCATCGTCCCCCCACCCACACCAGGCGCTCTACCGCATAGGGTTTGACGGAGCGTCCAAGGGCAACCTTGTGCCTCGCCTCTCTTCCTCCACATCACCACCCCTCCCCCCTCCCCCACCCACACCAGGCGCTCTACCGCATGGGGTTTGACGGAGCGTCCAAGGGCAACCTTGTGCCTCGCCTCTCTTCCTCCACATCACCACCCCTCCCCCCTCCCCCACCCACACCAGGCGCTCTACCGCATGGGGTTTGACGGAGCCTCCAAGGGCAATCCAGGGCGGGCAGGGGCGGGGTCTGTGCTGTGGGATGAACAAGGCAACGAGGTGAGATGGGGGAGGGGAGGGGGGGTTTGTTAAGTAAGTGAGGCGTTTTCTGGGGTGGGGTGGGGTGAGGGGCGGGCTTTTTGGTAGCAGAGGCAACCCGGGGCGGGCAGGGGCGGGCTCTGTGCTGTGGGACGACCATGGCAACGAGGTGAGTGGGGGGTTGGGGAAAGATGTAGGGTGTGCTTTGGGGTGGGTGGGCTAGGCGTGCTTCTGTGTGGCAAGGGAAACCTTGGGAGGACAGGGGCGGGATCTGTGCTGTGGGACGACCACGGCAACGAGGTGAGTGGGGGGAAGGGGGGTTAAGGAGGTGAGGGTGGGTGGCCTTTGGGGTGGGCTGAAAGGTGGGCTCTTGGGTGGCAGGGGCTACCTGGGGCGGGCGGGCAGGGGCGGGCTCTGTACTTAGGGACGAGCATGGCAACGAGGTGAGGCCGGCGGGCTTGGGGTGAGCCGGGCTTGTGGCAACCCGGGGCGAGCAGGGGCGGGGTCGGTGTTGTGGGATGAACAAGGCAACGAGGTGAGAGGAGGGCCGGGTAAGGAGCTCAGGGTGGCCTTTGGGGTGGGCTGAGAGGTGGGCTTTTGGGTGGCAAGGGCTACCTGGGGCGGGCGGGCGGGCTCTGTGTTGTTGTGGGATGAACAAGGCAACGAGGTGAGTGGGGGGGAGGGGGGGTAAGGAGGTGAGGGGGGCCTTTGGGGTGGGCTTTTGGGTGGCAAGGGCTACCTGGGGCGGGTGGGCAGGGGCTATCTGGGGCGGGCGGGCAGGGGCGTTGTCAGTTCTGTGGGATGAACGCGGCAACGAGGTGAGGCTGTCCGGCTTTGGTTTGGGAAGGAGGTGCGTTTTGAGTCGGGGGTCGGCTAAATCTTGTGCTTGGGGACGAGCGCAGAAACGAGCTGAATCGAACTTTAGAGTGTGGGACCTCCCCTCCCACATCCCTTTCGGCGACTCTCATCCGTCTTTCCCCCCATCCCGCCCTTCCTGCCCCCTCCCTACCCCACACTACCTGCCAGTTGGTGTGCATGAGGGAGGGCGTGGGGCACAGGACAAATCTATTCGCAATTCCCAACTGTTTTCTTCCCCATACCCGCCCCCTTTCCTTCACCCGCCCCCCTCCATACACCACATTACCTGCCAGTTGGTGTGCATGAGGGAGGGCGTGGGGCACGGCACGTGCAACATGGCAGAGTATCGCGCGTTCATAGGGGGGTTGGAGCTGGCGCTGGCTCTTGGGATCGAACGAATACACGTTCAAGGAGACTCCATGCTGGTCGTCATGCAGGTGGGATGGGTAGGGGGGGAGGAGCGGGTGTTTGGTGTACGGCAATCCACTAGTCACCCCGTTTCATCACATGGCAGAGTATCGCGCGCTCATAGGGGGGTTGGAGCTGGCGCTGGCTCTTGGCATTTCTCGGTTGCACGTTCAAGGAGATTCGATGCTGGTCGTCATGCAGGTGGGTGGGTGAGGAAGGTGGGATTAAGATGGACTGCATTCTCATCCTCTTGGCATGTTTCCCCCTCCTTCCCTTGATTACAGCTTTCCTCTTCCTCTCCCATTGCTGCCGTCTTAATCAACACACTTTTGACATCACCACATTTTACAGGTGCAGAACAAATGGAAGGTGAACGCCGAGATGCTGAGGGAGCCGTGCATGCAAGCGCAGCAGCTGGTGTGCCGGTTCAGAGAGATTGCCATCCGGCACGTGCCCAGGGTTGGTATCACACAGTAAGGGGGCGGGAACACACAGGGTGATGCTAGTAGCACTGCAAAAAAGCAAGCACAGCAGCTGGTGTGTCAATTTAGAGAGATTGCCATCCGCCACGTGCCAAGGGTAGGTGTCATACACATGTGTCACGTACAGTGTGGGGTATGTAGTGGCCAGCTGTTGAAATGCATGCAAGTTGCTGTGCCGGTTGAATGATATTGCAGCAAGGCAGAGTCATGTCAAAACAGCAAGCACATACTGCGACTGTTGTGCAGGGGAAACAGTTGGTAGCTGGTAGCTGTTTACTGTGCTGGTTGGTTGGTAGCTTTTTCAGTGTTGGGGATTCTTGGATTGTGCCATGCTCGTGCACACATGCTCCATTCTTGAATTGTGCCTTTCTTGGACTGTAAACATGAACTATTTGTGCCATTTTTACACTAGCGCATCAAATTTCCACGTGCTCCATCACCTCCCTCACCACCGCTCACCACCCCTCTACGTCCCTCATCATCGCTTGTCACCCCTCACCACCTCTCAGGAGTGGAACCAGTTGGCGGATCGACTCTCCAATGAGGCAGTTCCTCTCGAAGGTCAGTTAATCAGACCTCGTTAGGCCAACGAGTGTTGTTGCTCCTCCTTACAGTGTCACAATCCCTTTTCCCGTCAACTGAAGTACCTACACCAACAGTTTTCTCCTTGTAGCTCCTCATTGCTCCACCCCCATCCTCCTCCTCCCTCTCCTCTCCACGCCTTAACTCACCCCCTTCCCTTTTCCCTTAACAGTACAACAACTGGTCGCCCTGTGCTCTTGCACCTCTCACTATTTTGTAATTGCTCCATCCGTCCTCATCCATCCTTCTCTATCTCTCCCGAACCCTCCTCCTCCCTCCTGTCCGCTTCCTTCCATCCATGTTTTTCCCCAACCAGAGGGCGAGCGGGTGATAGTTCCGTCCGCTGAAGCTGTGCCCCTGCTCACTCCTACCATAACGTCTCAGTTCGTGCAGCGACTTTTGAGGCGCCTCAAAAGCCTTCCCTCGTCTCTCCTGTCCGCTTCCTTCCATCCTTTATTTTCCCCAACCAGAGGACGAGCGGGTGATAGTTCCCTCCGTTGAAGCCGTACCTCTGCCCACTCCTACCATGCCGTCCGGGTTAATGCTGCGGCTCGATGCGGAGGGGCGGGCGATCGACTTTGACGCATGGCTGCTCAACGCCACACTCCACCTGCGGAGCCAGCTCCAGGGTAACGTTACCCTGTACGCTCACGCGTCGGGTGAGCTGCCTGCCCCTCAGCGTCTTCCTCATCCTGCTGCTGTGGCCACTTCGGTGGAGCGCGAGGCTCACCGCTTGGGCCAACTTGCATACAGACTTTGGGAGTCGCGTGACGCAGCTGCACGCCTGGCCCTTATTCGCCTCCTCCCGCGGACCGAGTGGGTGTACTTTCGTCATTTCGGGGCGGCGAAGGAGTGTTTTGATGCTATTATTGCTCGCTACTCCACCCACTCGTCTGCTGCTCGATTGCGCCTCACTCTGGCTTTGCTGTTCTCCAATCCTCCGGTATTCTCCACCGTCGCAGACCTCATTACCCACCTGCGCTTGCTTGACGCTAGCTACCACGCAGCTTGCGCTACTGCCCAGCTTGCCAGCCAGGTTCCGTATATGCACCTCACACTATACCTCATCGCGGCCTGCCTCCCTGATCGCTTTGCACCTGCCCGCGACGCTCTTCTCGCCATGCATCCCATGCACCTCACTATCGATCTCTTAGAAACTAGTCTCGCTAAGATCGAGACCCGCTTTCGCACCATCGCCTCCACCATTGGTGCACCAGTCTCCCCGATCTTCAAGGGTTGTGTTTCACCATGGCTGTCCACCACTGCTGGTGAGAGGATCGCGATCATCACAGATTTGCACATCCACTCGTCCTCCAAGAACTGGGTGGAAGTTTGTTATCTCCAAGACCTCCATGTCACCACCACGTTTCCTGCATACGTGGACTATGCTATCTGTACGGATCGTACCACTAGGGCACATCTTGCCACTTTCTTCTGGGACCCTGTGTCGGGTCTTTACACATTGCGCACTGCTGTGAGCAGCAATGGCTATAGTGTGGCTGCGTAAGCTGGCCATGCCTGCAACAGAATTAGCACCATTCACGTTGTCACTTTCTACACCCAACCCAAACTATGTGTAACTTATATCCAAGAAAGTCGATGTGTGCTGCATATACAGTAGTAGCTGTAGGCACTTGACAATACCGTAATTATATGAATCTATCCACGGTTTATGTACACACATGGAGCTACATGATACGTAATTGGAAATTAGGGTTTCTGGCATGCTTGCACGCTGTCAAACAGAAATAGAAAGCTCAACAATATATGCAAAATCTCATTGCTGATTCATTATCAAAGACTACCGTACATTCGTACAAACTACCGTATAATATCTGGAAATTCTTTCCCCCGCTGCCCCACACTCCCACACACTGCCCCGCTGCCCCACACTGCCCCACTGCCTCCCCACCATGAGGGAAAGGAGCATAATGTAATCGCTGCCTTCTCCCTCATGAGTGGGTGCAGTGCAGCAAAGCAAACCACCAGCTGGTGGTGATGGGGCAGATGTATGAAGAACGTGGCAGATTGGCATGGCTTGCACACAGGTGGCAGGTGGCAGATGAATGCCACACAGGTGGCAGACGTAGGAAAAAGGTCGAGAGGAACAATCCAAGTCACTGCTAAGTGTAGAGAGGCCTAACCCAGTGTGCAGCTCGTCTGCTTGAGCTGTCGTGCCAGCATAGCAGCGTTTATTAGGAGAGGAATTCGGGTGGGCGCCCAAGTCTACAGTTGTCATTCTTGCGGCTCCTCTTGAGGTTCCTTAATAGTAGGCATAGAGAGAGGGCGTGGTGCTGTGGGCAGTAACGCCGTGGAGAGGGTGGGTGTTGCCAGTGGAGGTGGAAAGGCCGATTACCCGCTCGCCCTCTGGTTGGCGAAAACAAACATAGAGAGGATGGCCAGGGAAGGGAGGAGACCCCGGGGAGGGAGGGTGGGGGAGAAAGGGATGATTGGATGTTGAAAATGAATAGCAAACGCAACAGCGGAGGACAGAAGGGATCGTGAGAGGATAATGGGAGGATAGGATAATTGTGACAGAAGGAAGGGGGTGGCGCAGGGTACGACAAAGCTGCCAGGACTGTAGGGAGCATGGCCTTGCGCAAGAGAGGAGCTTTAATATTATTAATATTAACTCTAAGGGATGAACTTTTAGTGTAAACTGGCTAAAGAGGAACTGGCTAAGACCTTGCGTGTGAATGCTGTGATGGCTCTAAAGAGTGAGAAACACGACTAGCTGGCTTTAGCTTGTCTGACAAACCTGCAAGAGGCACCGCCTCGTTGGAGAGACGATCCGCCAACTGATTGCACTCCTGGAAGGTGGTGAGCGGTGATGGGGGGTGTGGAGGTGTGGCAAAGGAGGTGATGGACATGTGGGAAACTGATGCACTAGTGCAAGAATGGCACGAAATGGAACAAGGGCCAAACATAGTTATCAACCAAAGTACCTCTATGCTGCGCTAAGATGACTCTGCAAGTTTTCAATCTCACTGCACCAGCACAATAGCATGCATGTATGTCGATCAATGGTCACATACCCTACTCAGCTGAAAAGAGTGATGTTGAGTTGAGTATGTGATCACGAATCACCACCTCCCCTTGTCACCAACACCATGCGCATGCATCACTTCCAACTTCCTTCAACATAGTAGCTAAACTACAATCTCAAACCTCTCCGTTCCCCACCTACCCTGGGCACGTGGCGGATGGCAATTTCTCTGAACCGGCACACCAGCTGCTGTGCTTGCTTGCAGTGCTGCTGCCCTGTCCCCCAAACACTAGCATCACACTGTGTGCCCCGGCCCCTCTCTTAGTGTGTGACACCTACCCTGGGCACGTGGCGGATGGCAATCTCTCTGAACCGACACAACAGCTGCTGCGCTTGCCTGCACGGCTCCCATAGCATCTCCGCGTTAACTTTCCATTTGTTCTGCACCTGTAAGTGTTTTTGTGTGTGTGGGGGGAGTGTGGGGGGAGTGGGGGGGGGAGGGGGGGGTAGGAAAAAGTTTGTGGTGGGTGTGTGGGGAGAGGGGGCAGGTGGGTATGCATGCACAGGTGCCAGCATGTGATGCATGAGCATGGGCACGGCTATGTTGGAAAGGGCCAGCCTTCAGACCTAGGACGTGTCCAATCCAACATAGCGGCCGGCACGACACACCAGCTGCCGCTTGTGCATGCTCTATAGTGGATTAACCTCAATTTCTTTCCACTTCTTCTGCACCTTTGCGTGTTTTTGCCAATTTTGCGTGCAGCAACTTCCTCGATGGAAAGGACAGGCCGGGCTTTCTATTTGGCATCAAAAGCATTATCCTGAGCAGATGATTTTTGAGGCGCCTCAAAAGTAAATACCTAGTGGACATCAAAGGCATCATCATGAGCAGATAAGAGGGATGATGACAGTTGCACAACCCTTGCGCGCACTCGGCTGACTTCTCAACCCAAAGAACCAGTATGCGGCAGAGGTATGCAATGCCACAGGAATCATCAAAGGGGTCAATACTGTGCTGCAGGAAATAAGAGTTAGTGCAACGACGCACATTGCTGCAAGCCCAGCTTTGTTTCGTACCACAAGGGAGAGGGTCGCGTGAAAAGCGTGCGACCCGCTCCCTTGTGGAAGGGAGAAGGTGCTCATTGGGCTGCATCCACTATCATTGGAGGGGTTCATTTGCCATGTGAGGAATGGTGGCACATGTGTGTGTGCGTGCGTGCGTGTGTGTGTGTGTGTGTGTGTGTGTGTGTGTGAGTGAGTGTGTGTGTGTGTGTGCACGTGCGCGTGCGTGTGTGAGTATGTGCGCGTGTGTGTGTGTGTATATGAGTGAGTGTGTGTGTGTGTGTGTGCACGTGCGCGTGCGTGTGTGTGTGCGTGTGTGTGTGCGTGTGTGTGTGTGTGTGTGTGTGTGCGTGCGTGCATGGGTGCGTGTGTGCGTGCGTGTGTGTGTGTGTGTGTGCGTGTGCGTGTGTGTGTGTGCGCGCGCGCGTGTGTGTGTGTGTGTGTGTGTGTGTGTGTGAGTGTGTGTGTGTGTGTGTGTGTGTATGTATGTGTGTGTGTGTGTGTGTGTGTGTGTGTGTGTGTGTGTGTGTGTGAGTGTGTGTCTAACAATATGAAGCTGTTTATTTTTTCCAAACAATACAGCCGTCAAACATTCTTTTCTTTTCTTTTTATCAAAACCCTTATTTTCCACCTTGACCCCACCATCCTCACCCATTCACCTGCATGACCACGAGCATGGAGTCTCCTTGCACGTGCAATCTGGTGATCCCAAGAGCCAGTGCCAGCTCCAACCCCCCTATGAACGCGCGATACTCTGCCATGTTGCACGTGCCGTGCCCCACGCCCTCCCTCATGCACACCAGCTGGCAGGTAATGTGGTGTATGGAGGGGGCCGGGGGAAGGGGGGTATAAAGGGTCCCACACTGCAATGGTCGACTCGACTCATCTCGTTTCCCCGCTCGTCCCACAGGACATACTTTCGAGAAGAACAACTCAAACGCAACTCCTGCCCAAATCAAAGCCCGACAGACTCACCTCGTTGCGGCGCTCATCCCACAACACAGGCCCTGCCCCTGCCCGCCCGCCCCAGGTAGCCCTTGCCATCCAAAAGCCCACCCGTCAGCCCACCCCAAAGGCCACTCTCACCTCCTTAACCATGCCCACCACCACTCACCTCGTTGCCGTGTTCGTCCCACAGCACAGACCCCGCCCCTGCCCGCCCCGGGTTGCCCTTAGAGGCTCCGTCAAACCCCATGCGGTAGAGGGCCTGGGGGGGATGGAAGGTAAATTGTAGATTGTAAAATTGGGGCATTCTACATGTGGCCGCATTTCCTCCCTTCTTCTCACTTCCAGCCCACCTTTGAATTGACTAAAGGGTTGCTTTGAATGGCTAAGGAAACTAACCTGAGAATCCACCTGAGACTCACCTGAGGGTCTATCTGAAGCCCAAGGGATGCTACGACTGGTCGCATGTCCTCCCCTCTCCTCATCCTCACAGCTCCCTGCCTTCCCGCTACTCTCACTCCTCCCTCCCTCCCCACACCCACTCCCTCCCTCCCATCCCTCCCTCCTGCAGCAGACCACCCCCTTCCCCCTTGGCTCTCTGCATATCCTCCTCCTATGGTGGGGTGGGGTAGAAAGGGAGGGGGAAAGGAAAGGTGGAAGGGTAAGGAAAAGTGGGAGGGATGTTTTCAGATACACTCTTAGGGTAGGGTGGAGAGGGAGGGAGGTGTCAAAACAAGCAAACAGGAATGATTGAATTGAGTAGGAAAGTTCTGGGTACAAGTACTAACCCTAATTTGGGTTGTACCCCATATGGGCTACCCCTACACAACACAATATAACAGTTTGACACACCCCTATAGGCAAAGTGGGGGAGAACAAGGGGTCACAAGTCCAGTAAAAAAAAACAAGCTCAGGGTGGATCACGACATCACCACACACTCTGAGCAAAAGCAAAGGGCCACAAGGCCAGTACACATGCAGAGGTATACAAGGGACAACAAGCAGTACAATGATCACTGCATAGCAAGTGTAAGCATGCAGATATATATATATATAAATCACAGTACAAGCAAGGTCAAGAAGTGAATAGGTGAGAAGAAGCAGGCACGAGGCCTAACGCAGAATAGAAGCGCTGATGGTCACAAGGCGGAAGCGCCTTGGTGAACACATCAGCAGTGTTGGCCCGAGTGGCCACGTAAGCAAGGCGAAGCTGACCACGCTGCTGCAACTCTCGAGCCAGGAAGTAACGCAAAGCGATGTGTTTCGTTCTGCGCTCCAGTCTGTACTCCTAACGCAAGGAAATCATGGCCTTGTTGTCTACGTACAGAACTGGAGGACAATGGGGCCGCTCTCCCAGGTCGGTCAGCAGGTAGGTGAGCCAACGTAACTCCTGTGCAGCCATGGCCCCTGCGTAGATCTCAGCCTCACAACTGGAACTGAGAACAGAAGACGAGCGAGTAGACCGCCAAGAAATAGAGCCGGAACCAAGGCTGAAGGTGTAACCTTGTGACGAC